GGCCGCGGCGGCCGCGGCGGCCGCCGGGGCCAGTTGCCTGGAGAGGTTTCATCTGGTTAACAGCTTCTGCCCGCCTCCCCACCACCACCATCACCACCACCACCATCACCACCACCACCATCACCACCACCACCACAGGGCCCAGCAGCCGCAGCCGAATCACCACCCCCCTCATCACCACCGGCCGCAGCCCCATCTGGGCAGCTTTCCCGAGAGTTGCAGCAGCGACTCCGAGTCCAGCTCCTACTCGGACCATGCAGCCAACGACTCAGATTTTGGCTCCAGTTTGTCTAGCTCCAGCAACTCTGTGTCCTCGGAGGAAGAGGAGGAGGAGGGAGAGGAGGAGGAGGAGGAAGAGGAGGACGAGGAGGAGGGGGGCAGTGGGGCCTCGGATTCCAGTGAAGTCAGCTCGGAGGAGGAGGACTCGTCCACGGAGTCGGACTCCAGCTCCGGCTCCAGCCAAGTGTCAGTGCAGAGCATCCGTTTCAGGCGCACCAGCTTCTGCAAGCCTCCCAGCGTGCAGGCGCAGGCCAACTTCTTGTACCATCTGGCCTCCGCCGCTGCTGCAACCAAACCCGCTGCTTTCGAGGATGCCGGCAGACTTCCCGACCTCAAGAGTAGTGTCAAAGCGGAGTCGCCCGAGGAGTGGAATCTGCAGAGCTGGGCCCCCAAAGCGTCTCCGGTGTACTGCCCGGCCAGCCTGGGGAGTTGTTTCACAGAGATAAGGAAAGATAGGGTATCTGAGATTACATTCCCACACTCTGAAATTCCCAGTACTGTAAAGAGAACTGAGCTGACAATTAACTGCCTGGCGGAGGGGGCCTCTTCACCTAGCCCAAAGACAAACAATGCATTTCCACAACAAAGAATACTCCGAGAGGCTAGGAAATGCCTACAAGCAACTCCTACTACATACTGTGCAGATAACAACACAATAGCTGCTAGGTTCTTAAGTAATGATTCTTCGGGAGTGGCAGCAAATTCAGAAAAAGATTCCAAAATCCCTCACTGCACTGAATTTGCTACGGATTTGCCCTCTTCGCCAACTGATCCCGAGGTGGATGCAGCAGCAGCAGCAACTAAAGCCGAGAATCCCTGCACTGACACAGGCGACAAGACATTGCCATTTCTGCACAATATTAAAATCAAAGTAGAAGACAGTAGTGCTAATGAAGAATATGAACCTGACCTTATTACAAATAAGCTAAAGTGCGAGTGCAATGATACAAAGGGTGAGTTTTACAGTGTGACTGAAAGTAAAGAGGAGGACGCCTTGTTAACCACAGCCAAGGAAGGTTTTGCCTGCCCTGAAAAAGAAGCTTCTTCCTTAAGTCCACTGGCTCAGAGTCAGGGCCTTTCATGCACTTTAGGTTCTCCACAACCTGAGGATGGGGAATATAAATTTGGTGCCAGGGTGAGAAAAAATTACCGGACACTAGTACTGGGAAAACGACCTGTACTTCAGACACCTCCAGTCAAACCAAATCTGAAATCAGCTAGAAGTCCTCGTCCTACAGGTAAAACTGAGACACATGAAGGAACACTGGATGATTTTACAGTTATAAACAGACGCAAAAAGGTAGCCAGCAATGTAGCATCAGCAGTGAAAAGGCCATTTAATTTCATGGCAAATTTTCCTTGTCCACCATCACTCATTATTGGGAAGGATGGGGATTTGTGGCCAGCGTATTCCTTAAACACCACTAAGGATTCCCAACCTCCTCACAAGGCCCATCCTATATGGAAATGGCAGCTGGGCGGTTCTGCAATACCTCTTCCACCTAGTCACAAATTCAGGAAATTTAATTCATAAAAGCGTTTTGGAAGATATTTTCTTGAACCATATTCCCTTCCTTTTGTTGTAAACTGCACAGGATGGTTTGTACAAGTCCATTAATGTGTTACACCCCTTTTGGAGTCCTGGTTTATCGCATTTTGAAGACAGAAATCGGATTACTTTTTTTTCCATTGCGGGTTTTTTTTTTTTTTTTGGAGTAGGGTGGGGGCGGGGTGGGAGAAGGGTTGGTTTACATTCCACAGACTATACTTCAGGCTAAAGACTCAAGTAAAACTCAGTTATTACGGTAGAGCTGGAACACTTTACTGTTTCAATGCTAATAATGCACCTGGTACCTCAATTCAACTGCTACAAATAAATGTCAAAAGGTTGAATAATAAATATTACAATGAGCCATTAAGTTTATGCACTAGATTTCAGACCTGAAAGTGTAACTGTTAATTCAGTGAAAGTTTGTTAGGTTACATGGTTACACAATGAGGTAGCAAGAAAGCCCAAAGTGTTCTCTACTGGAGCTCTTGTTTGTGGGGTATCTTTTTCTCCCCTTATTTCCTCTCCAAGAGTCGTTGCACTTATTTTTTTTTTGAGTGGAAATATTGGGGAGTCCTGATTGAATGCTGGTAAAAGCTGCCTCATATATACTGAGTAAAGTAAATATAATAGTCTTTTCTTTTTTCTTTTTCTTTTTTTTTGTAAAGGGTGTGATTTTACTTTTACAGGCACTCCTTGCGATTGGAAAAGTCCTTTTTTGTGTTCTCACCCAAAATTTTAAATTAGGTGACTCTTACTACTGTCCTGCTTACTTTGTGGTCTGAACATGACTCCTCAAACTTGCAAAACAATGAAAATATTTCTCTTAATAGCAGAATATGTTATGGTCTCTTTATAGTGACAAAGCAGTAAAAGCAACCGAGAAAAGTAAAATGGGTCAGAAATATAAGAATACCCCAAATGAAAAATAACAGTTAGTTCAGGGCTTTTTGGTACCAGAACTCAGGCACTTGGATTTTATTACCTTTTACTTTCTCTGTATCTCTCTAAACTTCTATTTTCAGACCATCCTGTGTATAGAGCAGGAGAGTTTCTACTGCAAGTGACAATCAGAGGTGACTATCTATATTTGCACTTAAAATCAAAGTAGTTCAACATGCAAATGGTTAGGGTCTAGCCCTTGGTAAGGGCCATGCTGGTGTACTATGTTGTGATGATGGAAGCAGTAAATCAAAATTATGGAAATTTGCACTGTTGAAAAGCATGCTTTAGCTTTATTTTCAATTAAAAACACTGTTTAAAATTCCTGGTTCCATACATTTCTACTTATTCCAGATTGGAGAACAGTTAACAGGAATGAATGGTTTTGTTGACATTTTCACTTGTAATGTTTTTGCCTGAAATAAATGCATTTATTGGGTGTAATGTTTTGTTGTAACACCATGTGATGAGGCCAGTCAGGTTCTGTGCAAAACACTGGTGGATTTCTTCCTAAATAACAACAAAACTTTACACACTTGTTACAAATCAATTGCAAAAAGTTTCAGGTTTAAGAAAGTGAAGCAGAGATCACTTGCTATTTTGATGAAAGTTAAACCTAATAATTTTGGGTCCACCTCCCCTAGTCTGACAAATTATATATCTCAGATCTTTGCCATCTTAAACCTAAGAAGTTGCATATATAGATCATAAATCAGAAAACAAAACATCAATGAAATGTTTACTGTGTGAATTTAAGTCACTAGTTCTCATGGAAATTCAGGTTTTTTTTCTTAACCTTTTAATTCCTATTCCCTTTGAAATTTTCCTTTTGTCTATAAATGTTTCAGATAGATCTGGATGGTCTCAGCCCTAATTGTTGTATATGCTCTGTGGTTTTACTCTTATTGTAAAGGACAGAGTCTGAGAGTACCTGCATCCAAATACATTTGGATGGAGTAAACAGATGCTTTGAACTGCCTCCCTTCCTTTCCTTCTTGAATGTTGCCAGATGTAGGTTCAATGGATCTTTTTTTTTATTGGGATGATAGATATGGTCAAAGCAAAAATTGGGGGATGTTATCCTTGAATTCACGTTTGTGTAATTTCAAAGACCGGTACAAGTTACAGTTAAAGCTCCAGAAAGCTGAACCATTGGCTTCTCAGTCAGTTCTTTCCTCTTTGGAAGGCAATACAGAATTTGGGTGCAGTGAGTTGTCCTGCAAAATCAATCTGTAAAAAGTGTGACATACACACTCTGGAAGTCTGTAATTTCTACTATTTAATTACTGCTAAGTCAAGCAAGTTCAAAGTATGACTACTACGTTTAGACTAGTACTTTTCTTGTTGGCTATGGAATCATTGTGCCTAAATTATAAATTGAGAATATATTTGAAGCTTACAGATCTTGGGTGTGGGAGGACTGCGAGATGGAATAAGCACAATTTAAAACAAATATACCCTATGGAATTTTTGACATAAAATATTGGCCTCCAGCTTTGACACTTGGTCTCCAGCCCTCAGAGAATCAATAGTTTCAGTTTATAGGAACTGAAGAATGAGCAGCATGGAGGCCGAGGCATTCCAGAGTGATACCATCAAAAGGAAAGAAATGAAATAGTCAACACAAATTTCACCCCACAGTACTACCACAAGCCAGCCAACCACAGGAAAACCTGAGTTGGGGCTTCTGTTAGGAAAGTGTACCAAACGGTATTCAGTAACTTGTAAATTCAAGGTATTCTTTCAATTTCTGGGAGCCCCTTAGCTGTTTTCCCATTCTGCTGTATTCTTAGTGCAGTTTACTTCATTTTGGTTGGTTTATGATTAATGACAGTATCTAGATTTTCTAAGATGTTATAAATGTCCCATTTGTTCAAAAAGTTAAGCCTTATTGAGAGAAAAGCAAAAGTTACCTCCATTGATAGATTGCATTTTTACATTTAAATGTTTTCAGGTGAGAGAATTTTTTTTAAAAGGCACTATATGGTTCCAGGGTCACCGATTCTGTGTCTAAAGCTCAGCACTTATAGGTGAAGGAAAAATGCAGGAAAGGGCTCTTTTTCTGACTTTTTTGTGGAAACAAGTTATTTTTGGTCTCCTGTAAAAGTAGTTTCCTGATAAGACTGTGAAATGAAGATTTAATTATTTTTTTAAGAGATGTGTGTACTCTGTCTTCCACAGTCAGGTTATCTGCCTTTTTTAGCAAATGCAGCTTGCTCTTTCTCAACTATTTACTTTTTAAAGTGGGTATTCTTTTGTACTGGCTTACTTGATTACAGTGGAGTATCCTCAATAATGGTTGTTTATTTTAAAATCAACAACAAGGAGCCACCACTAAACAGCAATAACATAAACTAGATGGGCTGGTGTGTGGACTTTTATCTTATCCATGTCTGGGTGACTTTCAATGGTCTAGAAATTCCTCAAAGTTCCAGTCACTAGAATTGGAAGTTTCTGCTGATATGAGAATGCTAGTTTTGTGTGCATGCAGGAAGAGATGTAGACTAATTCCTCAAAAGCATTTTTTTTCTTTCAAAGAAAACAAAAATCCTCTATGGTAAAACAAAAACAAAAACACAACCATTAAAAAAATAATAAAGTATTAGCATCTACAAAAGACAGAAAATGTGGTGAGTTTTGCTTCACCTTGAAAATACTTTCTGCTGAAAAGAATGTGAAAAAGGGAGCTCCTAGAGTCAAACTGGCGTGGCGGGGGGAGCGGGGATTTAAAGGCTCCCCCATCAACTAACCTCAGGAAACTGGCAAGGAGGAACAGGGCTTCCACCTTAGGGAGTCCTCCGGGTCACCCGGGCCTTCGCCACGATTTTCCCCTTCCCTGTAAGGAAGCGCTATTTTTAATGCTAGCTTTGGTTTTGGTTTGCTCCCGAGGCCAGAGGGCATTTTGCAAACTAGCTTGGGGGGTGGGGACGTAGGGCAGATCTAGGAGGTGGGGGAGGGCTGCATCTTACCTGTTTGGCCCTCGTTTGCTGGAAAAAAAAAGGAGGGGGGCCCAGCTATCATTCTTTGCCCATGCCCTAGGCCCCCGCTCCTCTCTCGCTCCTTTTCAAACTGTGGCGGCCTCACAAGCTCCTACTTTAAAAGGCCTGAGATGTTTTGCATGAAGCCCTCACAATAGGGGTTGAGGGAATTGACAGTTTCAAAAACAAGGCGTTCAGTCCTTTCCAGCTGCCGGGCCCGCTCTCTCGCACCAACTCCTCGTCCCTCTCCGCTGGGGGCGTCCTCGGGAGCGGGCCGCCTCCCCCGCCCCGCCAGCCCGCGTTCCGGCCGCCCCACCCCGCCCCCAGGCTGTGTTTGTAAACAGGGGTCAGTGTCCAGGGGCTGCTGGCGCGGGGCTGGGGACTGGCAGGCTTGGGGTGGGTGGGGGGAAGGCAGGGGACAGCCGAGCGGGCTGAAAGCCGGCCCGGGAGCCGAGGGGGCATCAGGGTCCCCTTTTCCCCGCCTGCTCCGGCCACCGCGCTGACCCAGGGCAGCTCCCGGCTCTCAGGCCTGGGCCACTGCCACCACCAGAAAGATGTGCAAATGCCGCCATTTTGCACAGTGGCAAACAAATTTCTTTGTGACTTTTTTTTCCCGCCCAGCTCTTGCTCTCCTCGGAATGAACCAACCCGCTTCCCGGGCGGAAAGGCCCGTACCCCCGTGCACACGGCCCCCAGCGTCTTTCGTGCGGCCTCACTGCCCGGCGACCTCGTGGCCGGGCCCACCCGGAGCAGGGCAGGGGCGCCGGGGCGCGCAGCCGGCCTGGCCTTCTCCCCGGGGCTGGCCCTCGGGGGCTGGACCGCCTTCCGTCCCTTGGCGCTCCTTTTGTGTGGCCCGGAGTCATCTCCCACCCCCGCGCACGCACACGCCGCCTGGCCATTTCTCACCTTCTCGCCCAGGCCTGAGCTCCCTTCCCCAGGCAAATGGGGCCCAGCTTTTCGCCTTGGGCGAAGGGCTGGCCAATGCCTCCAACTGAGTGTGCGGAACGCAAGTGGCAAAGAGATGGGGCTTCACTCGGGCTGCCGGCGGGGCTGCGAACGCCCCCT